ATCCCAGGACCCTGGGATCATGACCTGAGCCGAAGGCAGACGCTTAACGACTGAGCCACCCAGGTGCCCCTCTTGGATGTCTTTTATCTAAAGAAGATTCCTTTCTAGTTTCATTTGCTGAGTTTTTTGTTGTTGTTGTTTTTTTAAGATTTTATTTATTTGAAAGAGAGACAGAGAGAGAGTGAGAGAGCACAAGCGGGGGAGGAGCAGAGGGTGAGGAAGAAGCAAGGCTCCCCACTGAGCAGGGAGCCCAATGCAGGACTTGATCCCAGGACCCTGGGATCCTAACCTGAGCCGAAGACAGACACTTACCCTTACCCAACTGAGCCATCCAGGTGCCCCTGCTGAGTTTTTGGGGTTTTTTAATCATAAATACATTAACTTGGTTAAATGCTTTTTATGCATCAATTGAGATAATTTACATGCTTTTTTTTTCTTTATGGTGAACTACATTGATTTTTCAATGTTGAACCAATCTTGGATTTGTTAATGTTTTCTTGAGGATTTTCATTAAATATTTAAAAGAAAATTCACCAAAGAAGTCACGTGTGCTTAGAATTTTTTCTTTAAAACCTAGAAAGGTTTTATTATAAGTTGAGCAGTGCCTGGGTGGCTCAGTCAGTTAAGTGGCCGGCTCGTGATTTCTACTCTGGTCATGATCTCAGGGTCCTGGGATTGAACCCTACATCCAGCTCCCTGCTCAGCAGGGAGTCCGTTTGAGGATTCTCTCTACCCCTCCTCCTACCCCTCCCCCTGCTTGTATACGCTTGCTCTCTCTCTAAAATAAGTCTTTATTTTTTTATTATTTTTTAAAAGATTTTATTTATTTATTTGACAGAGAGACACAGCAAGAGAGGGAACACAAGCAGGGGGAGTGGGAGAGGGAGAAGCAGGCTTCCCACGGAGCAGGGAGCCCGATGCAGGACTCGATCCCAGGACCCTGGGATCATGACCTGAACTGAAGGCAGACACTTAATGACTGAGCCACCCAGGTGCCCCTAAATAAGTCTTTTTTAAAAATAAATTATAAAATCAATCTCTAACAGCTATAGGACTATTCAGATTTTCTATTTCTTACGTATTTTTAATAAATTGTGTTGCTCAAGGAATTTGTCCATTTCATCTGCCATGTTTATTAGTGTAAAGCTGTTCCCAGTATTTTTTTCTTATTCTAATATCTGTAGGATCTACAGTGATGTCCCCTTAATTCTTTGATATTTATGATTTATGTCTTCTCTTTTTTTCCTGATCAGTCTTTCAAAGGTTTTATAAATTTTATTCATCCTTTTAAAGAATCAAGTTTTGACCTTGTTGATTTTCTGAATTGTTTCCCATTTCATTAATCTATATACACATATATTCATTATTTTCTGTCTTCTACTTACTTTGGATATGATTTGCTTTTCTTTTTCTAGCTTTCTAAAGTGGGAGCTTAAACCATTGATTTTAGACCATTTTTTTCTATTAGTATTTAAAGTGATAAATTTCCCTCTAAGCGTATTTAGCTGTATTCCACAAATTTTAATATATTTTTTCCTTTGTCCTTTGGTTAAAAATACTTTGTTCAGTTTCCAGTTACTTTGTGGCTTTTCCAAATATCTTATTGTAAACAATTAAGTCTATTTTGTCAGGTAAGATATTCTGTATTATTTCATTTCTTTTAAATTTACTGACATTTAAATTATGGCCTAAATTTTACTCTGTCATAGTGAATGTTCCATGTACTTGTGAAACTATATGTGTTCTGCAGTTATTGGGGGTAGTAACCAGAAATGTCTATAAGGACAAATTGATAGTGTTGCTCAAATCTTCCGTTTCCTTAAGGACTCTTTGTCTATTTGTTCTATCAATTACTGAGAGAGAGTTGTTAAGATTTCCAGCAATGAGTGGTGTTGTCTATATCTCCCCTTAGTTCTGTTATTTTTGTCTTTATATTTTATAGCTCTTTTACTAACAGTATACAGATTTGGAGCTGTTATATTTTTGTTGATGAGTTGGTCCTTTAAGCATCATGGTACGACACTCTATCTGTAGTAATACTTTTTGTCTTAAGGTCTACTTAATCTGATATTATCTGAATAATATGAGATCAATCTGATATTAATATAACTATACCAGGGGCTCCTGGGTGGCCCAGTTAGTTGGGCATACAACTCTTGATTTTGGTTCAGGTCATGATCTTGCAGCAATGAGATTGAGCCCACATGGGGCTTTGCACTAGGTGTGGAGCCTGTTAAAGATGCTCCCTCTGCCTCTGCCCCACCACCCCTCTCTCTTAAAAAAAAAAAAAAATTAGGGTGCCTGGGTGGCTCAGATGGTTAAGCATCTGCCTTCGGCTCAGGTCATGATCCCAGGGTCCTGGGATCGAGTTCTGCATCGGGCTCTCTGCTCCTTGGGAGCCTGCTTCTCCCTCTGCCTCTCTCTCTCTCTCTGTCTCTCATGAATAAATAAATAAAATCTTTAAAAAAAAATTAAAAAATATATATATGCCCCCACACCATCTTTCTTATTAGTGTTTGTGTTTTATGTCTTTTTCCATCCTTTTACTTTCAACCTGTGTCTTTGTATTTAAAGTGCCTACCTTGTAAATAGTGTTTAGTTGGATCTTGCTTTTTAATCCAGACAATCTTTGCCTTAAACTCTTTAGGGGCGCCTGATGGCTCAGTCGTTAAGCGTCTGCCTTCTGCTCAGGTCATGGTCCAGGGTCCTGGGATCAAGCCCCGGCTCCCTGCTCCACAGGAAGCCTGCTTCCCCCTCTCCCACTCCCCCTGCTTGTGTTCCCTCTCTCGCTGTGTCTCTGTCAAATAAATAAATAAAATCTTAAATAAATAAATAACTCTTTAGTCCAATATTATTATTGACATAGCTATGTTTAAGAGTTTCATTTTGCTATTTGCTTTCTGTTTGATCTCATGTTTTTCATTCCTTTTTGGGGGGTTAATCAACTATTTTTCAAATATTCCATTCTGTATCCTCTATGGTTTTTTTAAGCTTATGTGTGAGAGAGAGACAGAAACAGAGAGAGAGATTGTTCTAGGGAAGATTCAGGTTCACACTTGAACTAACAATTATTCTACCTGCAGTGGGCCAGGCACTGGGCTAAGCACAACTCTATGTGGTCAGTAGATTTATTTCTTTCAAGTTTCAAAAAAGTTGCTCCCTGGGTTATATAGTATTCTAACGAAGTTCATTAAACTGAAAGTTAAACATGTTTCAGTTCAAATCCCAGCTCCACCACTTAAAAGTTGTGTCATCTTGGCCAATGTGTATATATTTTGTGAGCTTTAGTTTCCTTATTTATAAAACAAGAATGGATGTTTTAGTGCTACTTTATAGGATCACTATAGATACCACATGGAGTAATTTCTATAGATGTATTATGAAAACTGTAACTATAAACATGTTAAGATATTTCAGGAATTTTTTTTTAAGATTTTATTTATTTATTTGACAGAGAGAGACACAGCAAAAGAGGGAACACAAGCAGGGGGAGTGGGAGAGGGAAAAGCAGGCTTCCCGCGGAGCGGGGAGCCCGATACGGGGCTCGATCCCAGGACCCTGGGACCATGACCCGAGCTGAAGGCAGACGCTTAACGACTGAGCCACCCAGGCGCCCCAAGATATTTCAGAATTTAATGAAAAGACTCATTTACTTTCCTTATACCTTTAGAAATATATAAATTTCATTCCTATCTCCTCTATCATCTTTCAAAACTAAGAAACTCTTCTTTCTTTGGTACATTTGTTGTCTTCATGGTATTTTCAGTTCTTTCCTTATACCATCTCTAACTGTGATTAGAATGTACCCCTTCCACAACCACTGCATCAAGGCATAGTTCTTTCTGCTCATACTTCAAGACCCAATTAAAATAGCATGTCATTCATGACAACTTCCCACTCATATTTATTCACTTGCTCTTCTGAGACCCTCGACTCTATTTTATCTCATCCTATTGTAACTATTTCCACACAGTCACTAACCTTAAGTGACTAAAACTCCAGGGACTGTTTGGTTCATCTCAGTATTTCCAGTATTGAGTATAGAGCCTGGTACAGAGTAAGTTCAGTAAATACCTCTTGACTGAATGAAAGGATAGAGATAGACAAATCCGGGAAGGAGAGCTTTTATCGCCAAGCTTCAGTGCTGAGACTGTCATCCCTGTACAGATACGTAGTAGGTGAAGCCCAGTAGTTGGGCTGGTATTTACTAAACTCCCACTTTCCTATTTGCTGCAGTGGAAGCATTTCAGAAGCCACCATCCTTTAATGTTGGATTAATGTCATTAAACACCTTATCTTTAATATCCCTGGGAGAATCTGACAAGACCTTATGGAGTGATAGGTTTTAAAGCATCAACAGAAGTTTTTTTTGAGTTAAGTGGGAAAGGAGCTCAGAAAAGGTAGATTCTTATGAGTCTCTCCACAGTCCGAATTTTGGCTTGGTGTGCAAGTGCTTTCTTCTCCCACCCTCTTTCTATTCATTCACTTGTTAAACTCTGGTCATACTGAGCTACCTTTAGTACTCCAGATTTTTCTTTCCTCTGAGACTTTGTTCATGCTATTCCCTGTACTTGGAATGCTTTGTTCCACTGATTTCCTTTAACCTGGCAAATACCTCTTTGTCCTTTAGGTCTCAGCTTACATCTAGGCTTACCTCCTCTGGGATGCCTTCCCTGACCATTTGCCCCGATCCTACAGGTCTGAATTAGGTGCTCTTTCTCTGTGTTCTCACAACACCCTGAACTAATGTCCTTGTAGCACTTGTAAAACTATTGACATTTCTTTTTAGTCTCCTATATTTTTCACTAGACTTAGCATTCCTTAAGGCATTGAATCTTCTATTATTCCCAGGGCCCTGAATGATGCTTGGCACAAAATAAACCTCAGTAAATATTTTCTCAGTGAATTAATGGATGAATGAATGAATCCCACAAGAATGCCAACTGCAAAGAAAGGTTAAAAGAACGGGTAGCTGGTATACTTTCTCTTTCCACATCCAGCATTCTCCTGGTGTGCAGCCTGCAGATGTGGAGGAAGTTGTCAAGAAGGGTGTACAGACCCTTGTGATTGGCCGAGGGATGAGTGAGGCCTTGAAGGTAGGTATTGGGGAGCACAGCATTCCTGAGGACAGTTGGTAACCTCTTGGACCTTTACCTTAGAAATATGTCCTTGGGAGCTCATCTCAGTATATCATGCACCCTCATTTTGCTGAGCCAGTGGATGGCTCAGGATAAAATAAGGGATGTTAGTACTCTTCCTCATCGGGGTTGGACTGTCCAGTCTCTACCTTACCCTAGGCCTGTGTTGTTTCAACTATATTTCAGAAATTCTTCACTCCTGGAATTCTCAAGCTCTATAACTATCAATATTTGGTTCTTTAGATTTTCACAGTACTTCACACTTCTTTTTGTACTTCACATTTTTATAGAACTTTTTATTCTTTCCTTGAACACAATCAAGTTATGTGTTTTTCCCCTTTCGAAAAAAATACTTATTTTTATTGCACTTACAGAAATAATACATGCTTATTGCAAAACCGTTGATGCAGAAATGTTGAAGTAGAAAAGTGGAAGATCCCCACCCCCATCTCCACATTTGATGCTTACTGCTCCATGCAGCTGCAAATATATACTCTTAGGCGTACAGATATACATGTATACACTTAGAATCATTTTTACATAAATAGGATCACATCGTACGTATTTTCTGTAACTTCTTACATTATTACATTGTGGACAGCCCTTCACATAAGTATAGAGAGATCTACCTCATTCTCTCCTTTATATAGATGTCCTAAAATCTACTTCCCTACCGATAAAGGTGCTATTTATTTATTTTTTGTTTAACCTATTTTTCCCATTAAAATAATTCCTTTCTATAAGGCTATTGTTATTATAAAATTGTTCAAACATAGAAAAATATAGGGCATTTAAAAAATATTTCAGAGCTCCTTCTGAGGCAGAATCTAATTAAAGTCAATTTAAAATAATATTCAGCACAAGCCAGAGTTAAAAAAAAAATATCCAATAATAGCTGCCACTATTGAGAATCTTTTATATAAATTAATTTACAAACATTCATTCAGTGCCTTCTATGGGTCAGACACTCTTCTAGGCACTGAGACAAGATAAAAGACAAACAAGGTTCATGACCCTCTTGGAAAATTAAATAGTAGACAATTTCAGATCGCAACAAATGCTGTGAAGACAGACTTATGAGGGGCTGCTCTAAATGGAGTAGTCAGGAAAGACCTTTCTGAGGAGACATTTGAGCTGCAGTATCCATACATTAGTTAACTTCATCCTCACACCACCCTGTGTGTATTTTTATCCCCATTTTATAGAGAAGGAAACTTTAGATAGCTGGCCTACATGGCAAAGACTTTAGACTCAGGTTGGACTGACTCAGACATTATTCACATTTACGTGCTAGACATTTTCTGTGCCTTAGCTGAATTAGTTTTCATCCTAGCCCTGTGAGCTAGGTATTATTATTCCTATTTACAGCCATGGAAACAAAGGGTCAGAGAATTGAATTCACTTACCCAAGGTCACACTGCTAAGATTTAAATCCAAAACTGTCTGACTCCAAAATCCATCCTCTTCCCATTTCAATTTCACCTGAGTTTTGTGCATGCATGATGCTTCTGTCAACTTCTTAGAAGCCTGCTGACTCCTTGGGGCTCCCTGTCAAATTTTGGACTGGTGACACGCTGGGTGATCGAGTAGTGACCGTTATCATTGTCTAATTTTGTAGAGAACCCTTGCCTCATGGCAGGAAAGGAAACCCAGGAGGGCCTTTCCCCTGACTTACTCATCTTTTCTGCTCTTCCCAGGTGCCTCCATCCACTGTGGAGTACCTCGAGAAACAAGGCATTGATGTGCGGGTCCTCCAGACAGAGCAGGCAGTGAAGGAGTATAATGCCTTGGCTGCCCAAGGCATCAGAGTGGGAGGGGTCTTCCATTCCACATGCTGATGGAGCCTTAAGGAGAATAAATCACTAAGCAACAATGCCTGTGATCATCACTCTTAGCATCTCCACACCGGCCTCCCCAAGCATTTTTCAACAGCTGTTCACGCCAGGTCCTGTGCTAGGCTTTGGGATGCATGATAACTAAGGCCAGGTCCCTGAGGGGAACTGAAAATCAGGGGAGAAGACAGATGTATATAATACACTAAATGTTAGGCCAGAAATATGAGGAAATAAGGGCAAAAATAAAGCTTTCTGCTTTGAAGGCCAAGGAGAAGTTTCAGAACATTAAAATTACATTGCAGTTGAAGCTTTGGAATGTTTACCCATCAATTCAACCCAGTTTTATTGAGTACCTGATATGTCAGACACTGCTGTAGATTCCAGAGAAACAGCAACAAAAGTCTTAGCCTCACAAAGCTTCTAGTCTTCTTTTTTCCTAAAATTTTATTTGACAGAGACACAGCGAGAGAGGGAACACAAGCGGGGGTGTGGGAGAGGGAGAAGCAGGCTCCCCACTGAGCAGGGAGCCTGATGCGGGACTCGATCCCAGGACCCTGGGACCATGACCTGAGCCGAAGGCAGACGCTTAACGACTGAGCCACCCAGGCGCCCCACAAAGCTTATATTCTAGTGGAGAAAAGAAACAATAAATCCATAATGTAAGTAGAACCTGTTATGAAGAAAAATAAAGCAGAATAAGAAGACAAAGAGTAAAGAAGGCTATTTCAGGTATGTGGTCAGGAAAGGTCTCTGTGCAGATGGCCAATGAGCAGAACCCTGAGTGAAGTGAGGGAGCACTCCAGTAACAGCAATGGGAGGAGCTTGGCCCTGATACTCTGGATTCTAGGCAAGCTGTTCTACTAGCTAAACCTGAGCCTAGCTGGACAGTTCTCCCTGAGCCGCAGATTCTCTTGCTGTCAAATGATGGGTCTAGACTAGATGATCTGTAACCGCCATGGATAGTCTTTGTTAAATACCAGCTATCTTTTGTGAAGCCTTAGAATAGAACTCTAATAATTAAATTATAAGCATCACCTTAGTTTTCATTCCTCCCCCCCCTTTTTTTTAAAAGATTTTATTTATTTATTTGAGAGAGAGAGTGAGAGAGCACAAGAGGGGGGAGCAGGAGAGGGAGAAGCAGGCTCCCCACCGAGCCGGGAGCCTGATGCGGGACTCGATCCAGGGACTCGATCCAGGGACTCCAGGATCATGACCTGAGCCGAAGGCAGTCGCTTAACCAACTGAGCCACCCAGGCGCCCATTCCTCCCCCTCTTTAAAGAGGAGTATGGGCTTTGGTGTCAAATAGCCTGGACTTTGAACTGTGGCTTTCTATCACTCGCTGGTTGGGCATTTATTTAATCTCTTAGAGCTGCAGTGTTCTCATCTGTCAGATAGGGATAATAGTACCTGGAGTTATTTTGTAGGTATCAAATGGGGTGATTCATACAATGTCTTAGCACACTGCTTGGCATGTAGTGAGGACTCAATAAGTTGAAGCCATTGTTGTCATTATATTTTGATTAATGGGTCTGCTGTGTGTCAACTAGTTTCATGTTATGGTTCGTAACATATGGTTCGCAGCCTATTTCATAGATGTGTAGAATGCTGGAGCCCAAAGGAATTATTGACTCTATTCTCTCATTTATTCTCTTTCATGCCCATTTACTGAGTCCGCTAATTTTTTCTGACTAGTTATTGCTGGGCCCTGGGAGTATGGGAATAAGTAAGTTAGAATTCCTGCCCTCAGGAGTTACATGAGAGAGAAAACAGACAGTGATACAGTGTGTTAACATTGTAATAGTTACAAGGTCCAATGATGGCCTAAAGGATGGCCTAATCCCACCGGGATGGAAGGGAAAGTAAGGAAGACATCACGAAGACCATGACACAAGCTGAGTCTTCAGAATAAGGTGTTTGTTTAATCCCCAAACATTTGGCAACTTTTAACTAAACATTTACTAAGTCAAGTATTTATCACGACCGTAACTAATACCCCAGCCCTGCTGAAGCCACAGCCCCAGAAAGCTGGTTTTTGCTCCGCATGATCCCGTTACCTCCTTGGCTCAGTTGGGCATCTGACAAGGCAGCCCATGCACAGACTGAACAGCAACTTACGATGTGGCCTGGCAAGAAAAGGTGAGCTAAGACCATTGGAATGGAAAGTGAAGGGATCTTTCCAAGTTCACCCAGCAAGGAAGTGGCAGAGCCAAGGTAAGAACCTGATGCTGTGTCTTGACGTCCTTCTACTATACACCTCCTTAAAAGGCCTATCAGAGTGGGGCACCTCACTGGCTCAGTCAGTAGAGCATAGGACTCTTGATCCCAGGGTTGTGAGTTCAAGCTCCACGTTGGGCGTAGAGTTTACTTTAAGGAAAAAAAGGGAGGGGGTTGTGGGAGTAAGATCCTCACAGACCTGACTCCCAGCCTGGAGGTCTGGGGAAGTCCTGCTTAGTGCCCTTTTTGCAACCAGCCATTTGACAGATACAGGATCTTTCTAGATCTCAGCTCAGAAAGCTGAGGCACCTATGTAGCTAGGAGGGTATTTGATGAAATTCAGACTGTTTCTCTATTGATGCAATCGACTTTTTTTTTTTTTTTAAGTGAAATGTAAAGTGAGACATCTCCAGTGGGTGTTGAACTGGGTGTGGGTGTAATCAGTGTTCCTAAGTGAGTTGTCTCCACATTAGAGAGAACTTAGTACAAACTTCTTAGAGACAGAAGTATCTGGCAGGGAGATCATTAAACTTTGTATAGAACCTGCTAATAAATAGCTCCTATTTCTGAATCTGTTCTACATGGTCATTGCTGGAAATGTACAGAACTGGAGAGAAGCTATTTTTCCACATGACACTACACTTAGTCCTATGTCTTAATCATTAAGCCCTTTGATTTGATTTGTAGGTAGCACAGCCCTCTCTGCCCACACTTAATTTCTTCTAGCTTGAGTGGTTCTAAGACAAGAATTCTACCAAGTGCTTTCTGTGCACCCTCTAATTCTGTTCGCAGAAGTCAATCATGTCAAAGCCAAATATAAAGTCCTTTTGGAAACCTGCATCCCAGGGCTGGCTCCTGCAGGCATGCCGTGGGACTGCTAAGTTTGCTCTGGATTCATAGACTCATTCACTCCTGCCCTGCCTGGTACGTGCTGGTAGCTGCGCTGGGGACACCACACACGTTTCTTACTGTGCAGGGACTCAGATTAGTTGGAAGAGACAGACGTAAACATACGGTGATGGTACTGACATTGCAACCTGCCACGAAGCTACCTAGAGAGCTGTTTTGCCTGTCTCAGAATAATTTTAACATTTATTTATCATTTATTTTTTAATTGGGTATTTTTTTACATGAAAATGCAGATTTCTGGCTCTTCTGGAAGAACCAGAAGATCTGATACTACCAGGCCCACACTTAGAAACCACTGAGCAGAGGGGCGCCTGGGTGGCTCAGATGGTTAAGCGTCTGCCTTCGGCTCAGGTCATGATCCCAGGGTCCTGGGATCGAGTCCCGCATCGGGCTCCCTGCTCCTTGGGAGCCTGTTTCTCCCTCTGCTTCTCTCTCTCTCTCTCTCTGTCTCTCATGAATAAATAAGTAAAATCTTTAAAAAAAAAAAAAAAAAAGGAAAGAAAGAAACCACTGAGCAGAGCTGAATAGCAGCTACCTTCTGACCCTGACTGAAGAGAATGGGAAGTCTCTATTACCTTCCTACAGTCCACCTGACTCCTTTTTTCCTACCTTTCTTTAAAAAAGGTTTCCATTTCTGAACCTGCAACAAACACTTAAATAAATATGCCTCAAGAACATATAGGAGGCTGTCAGAACACGGAGGCAATGAGCCAAGCCCACCGGAGACGCAAGATACATTCCAGAATGAGGCTCAGTCCTGGAGAATGAGGAGTCGTAGGAGACACTCTGAGGAACATATTCCAGGGCTCAGCAGGTCCAAAGGTCTGATGACACAAGACAGCATGGTGAGCGTTGGGCACAACTACAGGATTCTCTTGCCAGAGAAGTACACAGAACGTGTGGCACACGCAGAACGAGGCTGGAAACGACAGAGGCGTGAAGAGCCTTCAAGAATATGACTTTAGACTTTATCCTGGAACCAGCAATGGGCCACGTCAAAGGGACTTCAGCAGGGGAATGGCATGAGCAGATCTGGGTTTTAGAAATATCACTCTGCTAGCTGTGTGAAGAATGGACTGAAGGTAGCAAGATCTGAGGCAAGATCTTTAGGAGGCTAATGCCACATTTTAGGAGAGATGATGGTAGTCTGCACTGGGATAGAAACCGAGTATGAGAAGAGGATGAGTCAAGAAACATTTAAGGAAGCAGAATCTAAAGGACCTGATGGCTATGTTTATCTGAGGGGTGCAGAAGGAGTCCAGTGTGACACACAGGTTTCTGGCTTTGACTGCCGGGCACATGGGAGACCACTTATACAGAACAACAGATCCATTACGGAAACCATGTTGGACTAAGAATCAGGAGGCCTGGGTTCCAGCCTTGGCTTTACCATGAATTCAGTCTCATATTTCTTAGCATCTGATCATTCAGGGTCAAAGGAATTTAAAAGGTTGAGTCCAATCTCTTATAGGATACTTGAATTCCTTTGCAAGAAACTTGTCAGGGAGCTTGTTCAACCTCTGCTTAAACACATCCAACATGGACAATTTATCCCCTAATGCAGCTCAAAAAACTTACCTTGATACTAAGCCATCTGCCCCTTAGGTGTGTCTCTACCTTTGGTGGAAAAAAATACTCTATTTTGGGTGTTAAGACCTAGGATAAAGTCCTGGCATTGCCCCTTAGGGGAAAAACATTACCTCAAAACCTCAGTTTCCCCATCGATGAAATGGGGGATAACCTAGAAGGATTTTTATAGCAGGGGTACCATATCTGAAAAGGATGCAGCATAGCCTTCACCTAGAAGGCTTTCTATAGCTAGTGCTCATGGGGCTCGGTGGGCAGCCATGGGTCTCAATGTCTTCACGCTCCGACCGAGCCATCATCATACGGTGCTTGGTAAGAACGGTGGTA